CTAAAATAGCCGCGAACGCGAGGAAGTCCCGAAATGGCGGCGAGACCTGCCATTCGTGCAAAACTTCTGCCGAACATAATCCAGCCAGCAAGGGGGAACAGTCTGCATTCGGTAGTTTTACCTACCGAATGCCATAGGGAAAGATTGCTATTAACACAAATACAAAGAGGGCATATACAGTTAAAAAAAAGGAATTCTTCACACTGCTCCCCTATAAGTCCATAGGTCGGCATACCCGCCAAGACCCTGATGGGTTGGCTTGGGGATGTCCGAGGGGCAACAACGAAACAGTCCAGGTTAAGTATCCAATTCCGTTTGGCGGGACAAACCGTCTGCATTACCATTTTGTTTGCCCGGACGATATTGCATGGTGAAGTTGTACGGTTGAAGGGCTAGGCTCCACCGCAAAAGCCTAGGGTTATTGCCAGCCACCGGTTTAACCACACCAACGGGTTGTGGTCGGTCATCAGAGTAAACGGCCGGCAGTACAAATAAGGTTGGAGTTTCTTAAGGGCCCACACCAGGGCTAGGCACTCCTTCTCCACGGTGGCATAGCTGACCTCCCGGGGCAACAGTTTACGAATTAGATAGGCCACCGGGTGTTCCATGCCGTCGTCTCCCACCTGGCTTAACACGGCTCCCAGCCCAAACATGGAGGCATCTGTGTGGACAAGAAATTGTTTAGAGTAGTCTGGGGCTGCCAACACAGGAGCCTCACTCAATGCTGCTTTCAGTTTCTGGAAGGCTGCCGCGCACTCTGGGGTCCAGGTAACCTGTTTGGAAAGGGCCTTTTTGGTGAAATCATTGAGGGTTTTGGCCAGGGCGCTATAGTCGGGGACAAATTTCCGGTAATAACCGGCTGTTCCTAAGAAGGCTAAGACCTGGGTCTTAGTCCGAGGTTGGGGCCAATTCGCTATGGCCTCTATTTTAGCAGGCTCAGGCCGCTGTTTACCTGACCCTACCCTGTGGCCGAGGTACTGTACCTCCGCCATACCCAAGTGACATTTGTCCGGTTTCAACGTAAGCCCTGCTTGGTGAATTCTCTCGAGCACCCTGGACATGTGGCCTAGGTGGTCTCCCCATGTGCGGCTGTAGACAGCAATATCGTCTAAATACGCACATGTGAAGTCCTGGAGTCCCTCCAGGAGCCTGTCAGCCATCCGCTGAAACGTAGCCGGGGCATTCTTTATCCCAAAGGGCATAACCTTGAATTGGTAAAGCCCAAAAGGAGTGACGAATGCCGACTTGGGGATGGCGGCAGACTCCAGGGGGATCTGCCAGTACCCTTTGCACAAATCCAGAGTGGTCAAGTAATTACCTCCGGCCATACGGTCCAGTAACTCATCTATTCTGGGCATGGGGTAGGCGTCTGTTATGGTGGGGCCGTTGAGGCTCCGGTAGTCTACACAGAAGCGTGTGGTGCCGTCACGCTTCGGTACTAGTACTACCGGAGAGTCCCAAAGGCTTTGAGAGGATTCTATTACCCCTAACTTGAGCAGGTTGGCAAGTTCTGCCAGCATGCTCTCACGCATGGCCTTGGGAATGCGGTATGGCGGCTGCCGTAGTGGCGTCTCTCCCTGGGTATCTACCCGGTGTACTGCAGCGGAGGTATAGCCTGGGATGGCAGAAAACATGCTCTGGTATTCCCGGAGTAAGCCGGTCGCTTCCTGTCGCTCTATAGGTTGTAGGTTCTGACCAAGACTGACCTGGTCAATACTGCAGGGAGAGGAGTCTAACAGATTGGGGAGTGGGAGTCCCTCGCTATCTTCGGAAGAGGGGGCGCATACAGCGCCGACATCTTCCATCCGTTCGTAGTAAGGCTTCAGCATGTTTACATGGAAGACTTTGGTCAGTCTCTCATCCGAACATTTGCTTACAATGTAGGTGGTATCGCTTATTTACTCCACCACCTTAAAGGGTCCCTGCCAGGCCGCCTGGAGCTTATCCTTCTTGGCGGGTGTCAAAGCTAACACTTTTTGGCCCAAATCTAAGACTCTGTCTGGGGTACCCATGTCGTAGCACCTCTTTTGGCAGTCCTGGGCCGCCTGCAGGTTCTCCCGAACTGATTCGGTGAGAATCCGCAGCCGGTTGCGGAATTCCAATACGTACTGGAATATAGGGATCCCCCCATCATCCGTGTTCCCCTCCCAGTGCTCCCGTACGAGATCCAGGGGGCCCCGAACTTTTCTCCCGAACAGGAGTTCGAAGGGGGAAAACCCCATGGATGCCCCAAACAGAAGATGGGGAAGATACTTCTCCCAGTTCTGCAAACATTTTTAGCATTTGCTTGAGAGTGCCATTAAAACGTTCACA